AAAATTTTGGAAAACCATGGAAATTCGGGCAAACGCTAGGAAAAATCAAGAAAATTCGGGCAGATTTATGAGAAAATATGTTAAAATCAGATTATTTCTTTAAAATTCTCCATAAAAATTCGGGCAAACTTTCAACTCTCCCCCCCCCCCCAGAAAACATCAGCCCCGTTCTCCTATGTGTTTTGCAAATTTAATACGTCAATTGTACACCTGTTAATACGTTTTCAACAGGGAAATATAAAATACTTAGGGTTCATTATTTATATCGGTTGGGGGGGGGGGCTGGTAAAATAATGGGGGGGGGATATATTTTGTAGGTGTAAAATAAAAAGAGTGGTTTAAATCTTTTGAAGAAGTGTTTTGGGGAGACAATAAAATTTTATAGCATTGATATAAAGAAGATAGTATAGAGATAGTGGCGTAGCCAGCGCAAAAGGCGGGAGCCATTTTAGTGGAGGTCTGGGGGCATGCTCCCCAGAATATTTTGAAATTTAGGGTCCCTGAAATGCGATTTCCTGCATTTTCGGGGTGTGAGTTTGCATAAGTCCGAAAACTGTATAATGCATAAAAGACATGATTTTTCGTGATGGAAAATGATGGGTTAAAATAATGCAAATTACTTTTAAAACCGAATGATGATTGAAAGTAAATATATTTTACATTTAAAAACCCAAAGTAAACCCTTTCTTCTTGGGGCCATATCTACTTACTTAGACAAGATTATACACAATTATATTGTGGATTTAGATTTTATTTCGCACCCCCTCCCCCTGTTGGCTAAATCCTGTCCAGCATCCCCAAGTTGAAGGTCCTCTCTACCCCCCTGGTTGTAAAGAGCACACAAAAGAATAGGATGGGAAGAACTACCATACGGCCATACTATGTTCTTCTTAACTTTATTGTTGGAGGGGGGTGAAAAATTTTCAGACTGTTCTAAAGGGGTGGACTACATTTTTAAACACATTAAAAGGGAGGGTCATTTTTATTATGTTGTTTGAATTTTAGAATCCAACAGCTCCTTCCCCCCTCCCCAACCGATAAATAATGAACCCTAAGTATTTTATATTTCCCGGTGTACAATTCACGTATTAAATTTGCAAAACACATAGACTACAGACGTATAAACAACATGGCAAACATGCACTTTCATGTACTACAAAAACTCTCTGACAGCCTGTGAGCAATATACTACATTTAAACCTTTTCAGAGTCTTAGAACATACAAATCTTTATTCTATATATATATTAATTAATTACTTTTTCTACGTCGTGCGAGGCTTCGAAATCCATCAATACGCATGGGAGAACGGGGCTGATGTTTTCTGGGGGGGGGGGGGTTGAAAGTTTGCCTGAATTTTTATGGAGAATTGTAAAGAAATAACCTGATTTTAACATATTTTCTCATAAATCTGCCCGAATTTTCTTGATTTTTCCTAGTGTTTTCCCGAATTTCCATGGTTTTCCAAAATTTTGGGGGGCAGTTGCCCCCCCCCCCTGTCTCGTACGCCTATGTCAATAAGGCATTTACAACATGAACATAATACGAAGCCAAAGTGAAAGTGTGAAAGTGAAAGAAACTTTAAAGAAAGCGTGCTAATTCTCGTATTTTACTCGTATTTTACTCGTATGTACTCGTATTTACTCGTATGTTACTCGTGTGTACTCGTATGTTACTCGTATGTACTTGTGTGTTACTCGTATGTTACTCGTATGTACTCGTGTGGTGTTTTAGTCACGATCAAGCAGACGGTAGTATTTTTATTAAGCTTGGCGTGGGAACTACAACGTCTGTGAGCGGGCTGGGAAAACCCTGGCCCGAAAGAGATATATTCGCTTGCACGTTAGCACTAATGCACGTAAACATGTCAATCAAACAATATTGCGAATTTAATAAACTCCCGACGATTTAATACAGTATTGCAGATTTTGTAAATGTTGTTTTAAATTAAACAGCAATTCGGCAATTTTAGTAAAATTGTCTATGTTTCATCACAAAAACCATCACAAAGAAAACAATCTTTCGGAATTGTGCTCTCAGATTATATATGAGAAAGTTAGCTTCAAAAAAATTCTAAAAGTGCATGAGCTTGTAACAGAATTAAAATCTTCAGTTAATACACTACACGAGAAGTTTCAACACCATTACCAGCCCAAAGATGTAGAATCATCAGGAAAGCGTAGGTTAACTCCTGACCCGCTGACCGTGGCGCTAGTCCATTCAACCAAACTGAATCAAATCGATTGTGTTTGTTCTCCGCGATGTTCTCCGGGTAGTATGTCTAGAACTGAATCGAAATCTGCGCGTAAAAAATGCTTGTTCAGCAGCGATACATGATCTCACTGGCCATGCAGTCATTAAGAAATAGCACAGGTACTGCAGACAACGTGGATGTAAATACTGATTCTGATGATGTATAACTAAGTAAGCTCAACATCGACGGTTTGAAAACGTGTGAAGGGCGTTCGTCACTTAAATCATTAAAAGTGCTTTTAGGTCATCCGAATGCAGGGAATATTGTGACGCGAAACCCTACAAACGAAAAGACAGTCCAAATAATTAGAAATCTTGTTGTTTGTGGCTGGACTACCCAGAGACAAACACTCTTCACATGTTTTCAAATTGTCGATGTTGAGCTTACTTTTATATAGTACATCATCAGAATCAGTATTTACACCCATGCACGTTAATTGTTTGCAGTATCCTGTGCTATTTCCTGACTACTGGCCAGTGAGATCATCTTTGTATCGCTGCTGAACAAGAAAACAATAGCCACGATGTTCAACAGTTCAAGATTAGAAGTTGATAAGTATCAAGATTAGAAAGTTGATAAGCAACAATATTGAAAACAACAAATACTACGGTTTTTCACTGTCTTGGTATTGACCAATCAGGTGATCATATTCACCGTTCAGAATCTGAACGGCGTGTAGTCATGAAAGGTGGGCTTTCCTGCAGGCCCTCAATCCTCCCCCGGAGCCCGCCAAAATCCTACCCACTGCAAATCAGGCCCCCATAAAATTGAGGGCCAGCCACGCAGGCTAGTCAAACCATGCCACTGTGCCTAATACTGCAGAAACAATTTGCAGGCAACTCTATCTGCACCGACTATTTTTAACCCTCTTGGCATGGCAGTCTGGTTACTATGTAGGTAAAGCCTCGGTCAAACGAGGATGAGAGTTGATAAGAGTTGATGATACTGTAGTTGCAACTCTCGTTCGTGTTAAAACTGGTTCAAATTATGAGAGTTGATATACGAATTATCACTATGCATGTAGTGATATCCAGTCAACTCTCATCAACTCTCGGGCAGCTGTTTTTCTCGTTGGACTGAGGCATAATTTCTAAAATGTTCTGTTGAAAGACAAAAGTTGCAATTTATCTTAGTTGAAAACCCCCATCAATATAAATTATGACAAAGAGGGGCCATCAATTCCTCCCCCTTACATGTTACATCAGTTCTATTTGATGAACGGAACGTTACTGGCAAACTAAGACAGGAAAACGCTAAATCAACGCTGTTCAGTTAAAGTGTGGTTACCTTGAAGTTGCTAGCAGGAAATTCGAAGGGTTCTTCATAAAAATGTGCTTTTGCTGTGGATGTCTCCTCGTTCCGTTCGATAGATTTCATATTTACCACAGAAGATCTTTAAATTATGACAGTTGTATCTTAATCAACGTCCAATGTCTTCTCTGTAAGCTTTTAATGTGCGTATGTTGTGGTTTTAGCTCGGGTTTTAGTGTTTTGTATGAACGAAGTCAAGGAGACTTGCTTTGTTTTCGTAGCCTAATTATAATGTTGTCATGGGAACAAGAAGTACATGGAATGACATAAGGGTACACCCATAGATATAGGAGACCACCACTGGGGTACACATTGCGATTTCAAGTAGCCTGCATGGCAGGCGGTATTTCTACGGGCAGCGAAAATTAGGGAAGCAAAGGAAATACCGTCTGCCGCAAAACTAGGGGTTTTTGAATTACCCGTCCGCTGGTGAACGGGAAAAACGGATTGGTTAG